TAGGTTATGTTTTACATAGCAAAGCCTATAGGTTCTATGTCGTAGAACCAAATGACTATATACTTGTTCACACGGTCATAGAGTCAAGAGATGCATGGTTCGATGAAAGTCATTTTTCTTCGGTGGATAAACCACTTAGTTCTGTACCTAGTTTGAGTGATCGAACAATCGATCAAGAGGATGGACCAAGTGAACCTCGTAGAGGTAAAAGTATTAGGAAAGCAAAGTCTTATGGTCCGAACTTTCAGATGTACCTGGTGAAAGGTACTAATGAGTCAATCGTGACTCAACTCGCTTATACATATGATATCGAGGGAGATCCTTGGACGTATGATGAGGCGATGAGATCGCAAGATGTCGTGTTCTGGAAAGAAGCGATAAATGATGAGATGGACTCTATCATGAACAACAACACTTGAATCTTAGTAGATCCTCCTCCAGGATGCAAACCGATTGGTTGCAAGTGGATTTTCAAGAAGAAGATGAAAGTCGATGGAACTATTGATAAGTTCAAGGCTCGTCTAGTAGTTCAGGGCTTTAGACAAAAACAAGGTATCGATTATTTCGATACATATGCACCGCTAGCTAGAATAGCTATGATAAGATTATTGATCGCTCTTGCTTCGATAAAAAATCTTGTAATTCACCAAATGGATGTCAAGACGACATTCCTAAACGGTGATCTTGAAGAGGAGGTGTATATGAAGCAACCAGAAGGTTTCATCTTATCGGGTCAAACACACAAAGTGTGCAAGTTAGTCAAATCATTGTACGGGTTAAAACAAACACCTAAACAATGGCATCAAAAGTTTTATGAGGTGATATTGGCTAACGGCTTTCGTCTGAATCAATCAGACAAATGTGTATATAGCAAGTTTAACGAGAATGGTCATGGGGTTATTATTTGCTTATACGTGGATGACATGCTCATATTCACTACGGAATTAGAGCAAGTCAAGAAAACAAAAGATTTCTTGTCATCGAAGTTTTCGATGAAAGATCTAGGAGAAGCAGATATTATCCTTGGAATTAGGATAATGAGAGATCACGGTACGATTTCACTCTCTCAATCACATTACATTGAGAAAGTGTTAAAACGTTTTGATCTCTACGATAGTACTCCGGTTTCTACACCGATGGATTGTAATGCTAAATTAGTGGCAAACAAAGGGGAACCAGTGTCTCAACTTGAATATGCTAGTGTCATTGGATGCTTAATGTATGCTATGACTAGCACTAGACCCGACATAGCATACGTGATTGGTAAGTTGAGTAGGTACACTAATAACTCAATCGTACATCATTGGCATGTTGTACGAAGAGTATTTCGATACTTGAAACATACCATAAATTACGGTCTTCGCTACACGGGTCAACTTTCGATGTTAGAAAGATATACGGATGCGAGTTGAAACTCTAGTGAAGAGGATCATGCCTCGGTGAGTGATTGATTATACCTACAGTGAAACTTAAGTATACGATAGAGAATCCTATAAAAGGAAAGTCGACATATGTGCAAATGGAGTTTTCTTTTAGATATTCTATCATTTAATATTTTTTTCTTATAATCAGTTGCCTTGTTAAGAATAGAAATACCTATGATTTCGTGTGAGATTAAAACCGCTACAACCAATACACAGTAAAATGAGTAATATAGATGGATATTTAATTTTGGTTTTGCTAATAAAAAAATTAAAATTAAATTTGTTTTTAATGTAAACATAGTGTTAAGAGAAAGCACAAAAGTAAACGTTTGGACTTTGGATTCTGTCAAACCATGGATGTATAAAGAATACATGCTTAGATAGACAAAGGTTTTTTAAAGCTTTACAAATTGTCAAAATGTGGCCAAAAGATTTCAAACGGAGATGTTTTCAAAATGTCAGAAAATAATTTTATAACGTTTTTTATACGACTTGAGATCCGAATGTGGCCAAAAGATTTGACGTATCGAGAGATGTATGAAAGTTTAAAGGAGAGTGAAGAATCAAGATCTGCAATAACAAGATCGATAGAGGACACATCCATGGCAGGATCGCGTCAATTGCAGAGCACCGAGTGGAGGGGATGGAAGGATCGGAAAGACAAATGAGGTAGGTTTTTAGGTTTTTTTTTTGCAATGTCGACTTTAATTCTAAAATATGGATCGAAAATAGCGAAACTCATTTAGAATTCCATATAAAAGTCCTTTTATTATTTTACGTCGTCATAGTTCCTTTTTGTAACTTTGAAAGTCATTTGTATTTTTTATAAATTTTAAATTTTAATTGAAAGATTACTAAAAAGGAATTGATCGGGAATGCATAGAATTCTCTTCTATATGTATGCTTCATACATATGATAAATATATCTATTTATATGCACTATTACCTCCAAAAATTGTGATATATAGATTATACACATCATTATAAGTGTAAATAATATAAAAAAAGAGTAGTAAATATTATTAGAAAATATTAATAATTTATATTGATAAACATAGAAGAAGAAAGATAATAATTTATGTATTTATATGTAAATAACTAATTTAAACTATCGTTTGTGATAAAAATATAAAAACAATTTTAGTGTGAATTAATGTTTCACGTTTTTAGCTCTAATATTATACGATATTATATAATATTTACTAAATATATCGATAATGATCATTTCTCTAAAAATGTTAGGTTAGATTATGACGAGCATATGAATAGTAGATAAGTGTTGTCTTTTTTTCTCTTTGTTAAAGTTCTAAATTTCTATGTAGAACTTTAAAATTGTTAAAAAATGATAGAATGCCAAATATATATATTTTTTATTCATCTAAGTTATATATTTGATTAAATTGAGACCAATTCAATTCAATCTCATTCCAATTTACGAGAGATTTCTTATCAAATATTGGTTTGGATTGGTCCAATCAAACCACCCATTTTAATACGACTGTTGAAACAATTATATGATTTGAAATTCGTAATATTAGTTTAGTGTAGATTTGTAATAATTTATTTAGAAAATCAAACTCAGCTCATGGATAACAGACGTCGTTGACATTATCAAAGTGCGCACTAACTACCAACTTTGTTGTAAAAAAGTTTAATCATTATATACACACATATCCGGCTGCGAATTCTCGGAATATTTACATCCAAAGCATCGTGAAGAATGTGGTTTAGAGACTTGGTCTCATGGTCATGCCTGATGCTTTTTTTTTTTTAATTATTATCTTGTGTCGCAACCAAATGGATTAGGGCAATTTCACCTAGAGGATGAGCACTTCGTTTACCATCTGCATTAGGGGTGGACAAAATTCATCGGGTATCCGTCCCGACCCGAGAGTCGGATACCCGAAAATCGGATACCCGTTATACTATGAGATAGAGATCGGATTTTAAAATATGTAAAACCTGAAATTCGGATTCGGATTCGGATTCGGGTTTATATTTTCGGGTCAGGTAATTACCCGCGGGTACCTAAGTAATAAAAAATAAATATTATTTATTTAAAATTTTTAATATCAATAAAAATATTTATCATTTATCTTGAATTTTTATATTTATATATATATAAACTATTATTTTATTATCTAATTATTTTAAATATAAATATTTTAAATTATTTTCATTAATTTTATGAATTATTTGTATAAAATTTATAAATTTATAATTTTTAAAAAAAAATTAAAATTTTTTGGATTCGGGTATCCGCGGAGACCGAAAATTATCTCACGAGTAATATATTTTGGGTATCCGAAAATTCGTGTTCGAATTCGGATTTCAAAATGTGTTATTTTTTGGATTCGGATTCAGATACCCTAAAAATTTCGGGTACCCGACCCGTGCCCACCTCTAGTCTGCATGGGGTGATGATTGCGAAGTTTTTTTAATCTTTATTGTTATCATAATTTAAAATTAAATTTTTTTAATAAATGATTATAATTTAAAAAAATTATATTGATTGTCTTAAAAAGTAATCGTTCCTTCCTAGTAGGGGTGGATGACCGGACAGATTCGGTTTAATCGGGTTCGGGTATTTCGGGTTCGGGTATATCAGATTTGAAATATTCGTATCCAATCAGATATATTTTTTTAATCGGTTCGGTTCGGATTCGGATCGGGTTCGGTTCGGGTTATCCAAACAAAAAAACGATAAAAAAATTCAAAAAATTATCTTCTAAAAATAACAAAAATATCATTAAAATATATGCATATTTCATTTTTTTTTATATACCATGGTTATAAAATAATATCATTATACTATTTTTCTAATTAGATTTTAAATATATTACATATTAATTGATGATATATGGATGACAGTTTTCTAAAGTTTTATTGGTTCATGAAAATCGCTATTCATGCATGATACATACATACATGTGTATATATATATATATATGTGCGTTTTAGATCAATGAATATATTAGACCAATTGGGGATCTTCCTCGTCTCAGTTGGTTTGAGAGTCCACTTCCTGAACAAGAGGTCGTGGGTTCAACATCCAAAGTATGGAGATTTCCCTTCCGGCCACCTTCGGGTGCTTCACATCCCACACGTGTGGTGCCGGTTGTGCGTGTGAGTCGGGATTAGTCTGGACCCTTTGGGTCTGGGATTACCCGATTATCAAAAAAAATATATATATATTAGACCAATTCTCTCTAATTATTTTATATTATTCATTTTAATTAAGAAAAGTTATGTTACAAACTTAAAATATAATTTGTTCAGATCCTATATTTGACTCTATTTGTAAGACTTTCTATTTGATCATACACCAATAACATAGTTTTTTTAATTAATTAAGCTAAGCTAAAATTGGGTTAATTGGGATTAGACAGGTTTGGTAGGTTAAATCTAACCTTATATAAACTATTGTTGAAGATTGATTCAACCCAACCATTAATTTATTGCAACCAAAATTGCCATCAATGAAAGGTTAGCAAGTGGCATGTAATGTATACATCAACATAATTTAAGCATTTGTACCTTTTTGTCTCCAACCCCCCCCCCCCCCCCCCGCATCATAAAACTAGCCATAAACCCTAATATTAGGGTTAGACCCCCTCTCGGGTCCCTCGACTCCGAAAGCAACGCCATCTTCACCTCCTCTCATGGCGAGTTCTGGTTGCTGCAGATTGCTGAGGAAGGCCTCCATGTCGCCTCTCCTATCCGCCATCAGATCTACGCCCTCCTCTTTCGCTGCCTGCAATCGATCTATCTCCTCTTCCCGCCGCAGCGTGCTCGACGACACCCCTCTCTCGACCTACGAATCCGTACGATCCGTCTTCCTTTTCTGCGTTGCGTTTTCATTGGGATCGAACAAGAAGCGGAGTAATCTCCTTTCTTTTAAGAATCCCCGGTTGTCTTAGCTAGGCCTTTCATGTTATGTGTTGCTCTTTTCTGGAAATGCGTTTGCTTGCCCATGTTTATCGGATCCTGTCTCGTGTTACAGCTGGAGAGTGCCAAAGGAGGAACTCTTTCGGCGGTCGTTATCAACCACAAGGGTGAACTCCTTGTGGGAACCTCAGCCAAATGGTTTGAAAACTATCAGGCACAGAAGGAGGCGGAGTTGGCACCCTGCAAGATTGTCAAAGCTCCAAGTGGCGATGCTTGGGTCGAAGCAAATGGGCAAAAGTACTCCCCTAGCAAGATTGCAGCTTTTGTTCTCCCGAAACTGATGGAATTTTACAAAGAGCACTTCGGAATATATCTATGGTATGTTACTGTTAGGGTTCCAGCTTGTTTCAGGGATGCTCAAATCGAAGTACTCATCGACATCGACTGCCGTGGCTGTGGCTCTGTCTTGGCCAGAGACGAAGCCTCCAGGAAAGAAATGGAGGTGGACTTTCTGATCCGCAGCGCTGACTTTACCGCCTACGATACCGTCATAAGTATTAGGAATTGTTTGAGAAAGTACAAAGAGAAGATCCCTGCCGAGATTGCAGCGGAGATTGAAACCGCTGTGTCTGAACTCATGAGTGCCTCAGAACTTGATAACGAAGAGGTCTTGCTCTTGGCCAAGTTAGATGCCGCAAGAGAGGCGGTTTCGAAAATAGGCCAATATGTGTCTAAAGGATCTTCCTACGGAGGCAGTGGCGGTGCCAATTCTATGGAAGGAGAGGTAAAAGAAAACAACCTTTCTCTATTGCCCTCATCTTTTGGAAATGAGTTTGCTTGCTCAAGTTGACTGGATCCTGTCTCGTTTTACAGCTGGAGAATGTCCGAGGAGGAACTCTTTTGGCGGTTGGTCTTAACTACAGGGGCGAACTCATTGTGGGCACTCAGGCAGAGCCGGAGATGGAGATGGTACCGTGCAAGATCATTGAAGCCCCAAATGGCGATGCTTGGTTCGAAGCAAATGGGCAGTTGTATTCTACTGGCCAGATTGCAGCTTTTCTTGTCCCGAAATTGAAGGAATTCGCCGAAGCACACCTTGGAATGACTGTCACCGAAGCTGAAATAGTTCTTGATGGGAATATAATGGAAGACATGGAAGTAATCTTCGAGATTTATTCCAGTGGCAGAGTTTCTGTCAAAGCCCGAGGAATCATGCTACTTTCTTTTGAGAGAAGTCTGATCTACAATACTGACTGGATTATGAGTCATATCGAGGAGATCTTGAGAGCGTACAGACGGAAGATCCCCGCTGAGATTGCGACAGAGGCTGGAACTGCTGTCGGAAACGAAGCACGGAGAGATTAGAAGATGGCCGAAACGGATTACTGTTATCATTAATAATCCGCCCGCCTCGTCGCGTTTTAAATATATTTATTTTGATGTTTAAATTTATTCTTAATTCAAAATTAATAATATATATTTTTATTGTGCATTTTGGGAAGATGGATTTCGAATATTTTGTAGATTATAATATAAAGGAACAATCTGTTTACATCTTTTAAATTCTAATTTTCTTATTCAGACAAACTAAAATGAAATCAAGATTCTCAAGCTCAATCAATTTGTCAAACTATAGAAATGAGATTGATATGAAGGCTTTTCTTATTTCTGTAGACCGAAGCAAAGCTTCTTTAAATACTGTACAACCACAAGAAAGAGATCTTAAAAAACCGGCTTCGTAAAAATGTCTACTAGTTGATCCCGGAAAAAAACGTGCAATGGTTTAAAAAATCCGGATTTGATCCGTTCTCTCACAAAACGGCAGTCGAGTTCTATGTGCTTCGTTCTTTCATGATGTAACGGATTATTAGCAATGTGTACTCCATATTGATTGTCTCTGAATAAGGAAATGGGTTCTGGACAGACAACCCGCAATTCACGAAGAAGAGGTGCAATCCAAATAATCTCGTAAATCGTTTGAGCCATTCTTTTATATTTAGATATCTTATATAAAAATTTAAAAAATAGTGATAGATATTTTATATAATAAATATAGTTTTTTCTAATTATAATGATTTATTTATATTTTAAAATTCTTGGTGTGTAAAAATTAGTGGTAATATGTTATAATACCAAAATTATATAGATAATCAATATCGAATGGAAATTAAGAAAATAGGCACATAAGATGCTGATGTAACTTAACCATATGTCTTCAACCGCAACTATTTATATATATATATATATATTATTTATTTATTTTCAAGATACCATCCAATTTAAAAAAAAAAAAAAAAGAATCGAAGTGAAGGTAATAATAATCGGGCTTTGTATGAAATTCTAGATGGGCTTTATTATAGATGGCTCATATGTTTAGAATGAGAGCCGTAACTTCAACTGCAAAAAAACCTACCTCCTCTCATCATCTCTCCTTCCCTGCGTTCGGGGCGGGAAAATCTCCCAAATAACCCACTTCATTCACATCTATTTCAGTGTACACCACCAAAAAAAAAAAAAAAATTTTTTTTCAATTTTAACCCACTTTTCGGGTGGAAAAGTCCGAAATACCCTTTTCGTTTTATTTTTTGCGACTTTATTACGACTAACATATAACTGATATACAACTAAAATAAGGCAGATAATTTTTTTGCCACCTTTTTAAGAATCAATTGTAACTATATTTAGACTTAATTACGAAGTCGTAATAACGAAGTTGTTTTTGAATGGATAAATATCGTGATTCATTAAGGGTAATTTCGTCTTTTTACAGGAAAAAAAATGTGTTATGTTTTTGGTGGTGTACAGGTGAAATAGATGCGACCTAAGTGGGTTGTTTGGGTAAAAAACCCGTTCGGGGCTCTGTTGGTGATGACTTGTGCTTGCTACAGATTGCTGAGGAAGGCCTCCATGTCGCCTCTCCTATCCGCCATCAGATCTACGCCCTCCTCTTTCGCTGCCTGCAATCGATCTATCTCCTCTTCCCGCTGCAGCGTGCTCGACGACCCTCTCGCGACCTACAAATCCGTACGATCCGTCTTCGTTTTCTGCGTTGCGTTTTCATTGGGATCGAACAAGAAGCGGAGTGATCTCCTTTCTTTTAAGAATCCCCGAATCTAAAAATGAGTATGAATGAAGCTCTCACGCTTGCAGCTATCTGCAAATGGATAGACGTCTCCGGTTGTCTTAGCTAGGCCTTTCATGTTCTGTTCTCTTTTCTTGAAATGCGTTTACTCGCTCATGTTGATTGGATCCCGTCTCGTGTTACAGATGGAGAATCCCCGAGGAGGAACTCTTTCGGCGGTTGGTATCAACCACAAGGGTGAACTCCTTGTGGGAGCCCCAGCCAAACCGTTTGGAGACTCTCAGGCACAGACGGAGACGGAGATGGAGATGGAGATGGTTCCCTGCAGGATTGTTAAAGCTCCAAATGGTGATGCTTGGGCCGAAGCAAACGGGCAAAAATACTCTTTTGGCCAGATTGCACTTTTTGTTCTCCTGTATATGAAAAAATTTGCCTTTGCACACCTTGTCAGATTTTACAGCAGTGGTGTTAGGATTCCAGCTTGTTTCAGGGATGCACAAATGGAAGTAACCTTTGATATTGAAGACGTTGACTCCTTTTCTGTCTTGGCGACAGACAACGCCTACAGGAAAGTAATGGAGGAGGAGTCTCTGATCGGCAACATTGACTTGATCGTCCACCGTATTGAGGCATTCTTGAGCAAGTACAGAGAGAGGACCCCTGCCGAGATTGTGACGGAGTTTGAAACTGCTGTGTGTGAACTCAAGAGTGCCTTAAGACTGGATAACGAAGAGGTCTTGGCCAAGTTAGAGGCTGCAAGAGAGGCCGTTTCGAAAATACGCCAGCACATGTCTAAAGACACCAATTCTATGGAAGGAGAGGTAAAGAAAACCTTTCCCTATCGCCATCCTCTTTTGGAAATGCGTTTGCTTGCTCAAGTTGATTGGATCCCATCTCGTGTTACAGATGGAGGATGCCCTGAGAACCCTTTCGGCGGTTGGTATTAACCGCAAGGGCAAACTCCTTGTGGGAACCTCAGCCAAACGGTTTGAAGACACTCAGACAGAGATGGAGATGGAAATGGTACCGTGCAAGGCTTTTAAAGCTCCGAATGGCGATGCTTGGGTCGACGTGAACGGGCAGTTGTACACTGCTAGCCAGATTGCAACTTTTCTTCTCCTGAAAATGAAGGAACTTGCCGAACCACACACCTTGGAATAACTGTCACCGAAGCTGAAATCTGTCTTTTTGGTATAAAGGGGGGACAATTCGAGGTGACCATCAGCGTTTATCCCGATGGAAGAGTTACTGTCGGGGCCAAAGACGAAGCCACCATTAAAGATATGGAGGAGGAGTTTCTGAGCTTAACTGCTATGTATAGTTTCGACGATCTCGAGTTTTCCTTGAGGGAGCACAGAGAGAAGCTCCCTGCCGAGATTGTCACAGAGGTTGAAACCGCTTTGTCTGAACTCAGGAAAGTCATGGCGGAATCCAACTACGAAGAGATGGGGGCCAAAACGGATGCTGCATTTGAGGCTCACGATAGACTCAGGTCATCATTAAAGCTAGCACCATGTCGCGCGGTCTTAAAACCCAGATAAGTTTTAGACGATTTTACTATTAGCTTTAGAGATAATATAATTTATTTTGATGTTTTAATTTATAATTCAGATTCATAAATAAAAATGAGAAATCTTTTTCTTGGTCATTTTAACTACATCCGAAAACCCAAAAAAAAAAAAAGAGAAAAAAATCTCAACCAAACAATTCCAACAGTCTCTAATAAAAAAGGAAAAAAAGAGATATTTCTGAATTTAATATTTTTCTAATCAAATTGAAAATAAAACTTTTTCTAATTTGATTCGACAAACTTCGAGTTCAATTTGTCTCTCGAACACTAACAGATGTCACTTTGCTTTGCTCTTTTTGAACTTCAAATCCAATTGTTTTGGAAAAAATAAGAAGACAGGGGTTACTCTTTATGCTGTCCGAATTCTTTTTTATTTTTATTTTGTCCCCATACCATACGAATTACAATTTTATACCTCTTTTTTGCGATATAATTGCTTATATAAAGATGGGATTTTGGTAATTATACCCATAAAGGATCTTCGAATAATTCAAGGTGAAAAAAGAAGGTATTTTGGAATACCTTATTTAGTCCCACTCCAAAGAGTGTGTATATACATATATATATATATATATATATATATGCATGCGACAGCTTTCGATCGAACCCAGGGAAGACCCACTGACCCATGGATGCTTAACCACTGGACTACGAACGATGCCGACGTTGATGCTTTTAACCATTTGACATTGATCACCTTCTTGATTTTTCATCCAAACCACATAAAAAAATAGAAAAAAAATCAGCACCAAACCGGATTTAATATAATATTAAAAAAAATAACATATTACCACACAAATTTGTACAAATATACTAAATTCTTATATAAATTTTTAATTTGACATCAACATACACCGCATCAATAATATGATATGTGGATATATATATGTGCTTTTATATATATATATATATGAATATATAGTTTTATGTTAAATTAAAATTTTATCTAGGAATTTGGCATATATATTTTTCACAAATTCGTGCGAGAATGTCATTTTCCCTATAAAAAAAACGAAAGACGAAAGGCTATAGTTTTTCTAAAACTCAAATGAGTAAGAATATAACCAATAACCCAAACGAACATGAGGATCCCAAAAAACATAAATTGTTAAATATGGTAACTCTCTTCGGACGTAGACAATACAAACTCACTCATTCAAGGGCCAAAAACACCGTACAAATTGGTAGGCTTTTACAGCTTTCACTTAACACACACACACACACAACGGAGTGAAACCAATCTCAATCCAACTGATTTCTGTAAACAAAAAAGTGTATACGACGCCCAGGAAAGGCTGTCATCATGGCCAACGAAGGATGAAGACACAGAAGATTTTTCTAAAACTTAATTATATAATCAAAAACATGCTGTAGGCCGACGAAGAAACCAATCTTCAAATGAAGAACGAGAGGCGAAAACTGCACCTGTATCGATTTCGCCGAGAAAGATTCACTGTTGCAACATCGGCTTCAATTGTGCTTTGAAAAGGTCGGCAAGTGCCACTCGTATGTCCATCTGAATAGGCATATATTTTTTTTTGGAAAAGCCAAAAAAGGGACATGGATAATCGAAGTTAAACCGTGATAGACATGGAGATTATGCTGTGGGCTGGGATACGTACAGTCAGCATATATATGCAAAGACTAATTCCGAGAAGATAAAATAAATCAAGTCTAATAATTTACAGCAAGTGTATATGATATTTTCGGGATAGAAAATAATGGCTTGACTCGAATCCAGCGTTAAAAGAGAGAACCTAGGAGCATAGCTATAAGGGAAGTTCCAATGTGCATTTAAAAATGGAATTCAGGTGCTCACCTGTTCACAACAGACGAGCTTTGTGAGCAGAGGGTAGAACTCTCTCATATGTTTTCTGAAAACTTTGCTGTTCATGAAGCACATGCCTTTGAGAACCTGTAAGTAGAAAATGGCAATGAAAGAAATTAACCTTTATAACCAGGACAGGAAAAACAAATTCTTAAATGGAAAAAAAAAATTCTGAATCATAATAACATTGAACATACATCAAGAGATGAGGGAGAGAGATAGAAACATGGAAATACTGGGGAAAAAAAATGTCGAAATCCTACTACATCGACCATGATACTTGATATCGAAGCACTATTATACCTTGACAATAACAGGAGAACGCAGTTCCAATACCCGATGCACATCTGTGGTTGTTGTCTCCCCTAAAGTGGACTGGAGATAAGATGTTTCTTTCAGTACCTGCTCACAGAATGACACTAATTTTTCTTCTGCTACACCACTTAGTTTATCTTCCGGATCAGTGGCAACATCGGTAAGCCCAGAGGTTGAAGTTTGCAACACATCCAAGTATATGGTGGTTCCTGACAGCTCTTGTCGGAGAAGGTTCAAAGGTGGCCTGTATAGAATAGATTGTTCAACTCTACGAAAGAGAGAGAATCTATCCATCCATTACTCAGTTCAAAGGCTTTGTAACTACTAACCTCTCCCCAGGAATCTGATTCATCCGTATTCTGAGGTTAGAATATGAATTGTAAGAGGCAGCAAATTCTATGAAAGAATATAAGATGTCCATAATTGCAATCTTCTGTGGTGCTTTCAAGCTGCTCCAGTATTTTTTCTGTCGAATTAAGAAAACACCAAAAAAAAGATGCATTTTTCTTTTTATGAATTTAGTCCCAACCCTTCAAATATAAATATGTGATATGGTAATAGATCTAACTTGAGTATGCATGGATATGATAATCATATTTGATACCATACATTTGATAGAGTGTCAATTCTGTATTTCATTCCATACAAACTGTCACTTTCTAGTTTGATTATATTATGTTGCCAAAATATTGTGATGAAATGTTTCCATGTTGGTTTGATTTGTTTTTTTTCTTTTTATGAATTTAGTCCCAATCCTTCAAATATAAATAACATTCGTACACTAAGGTGAAGTAAGAAGAAATCTTAATACCTGGATACTATCAATAACACCAAGTAGTAATAACTGTGTTATGCATTTGCCCCTGATAGTTCCCAGTGATGGATTCTCCTCTTCGTCTCTGTCGTCAGGCTCTGTAGAGTCCACAAGCTATAGAGGAAACGATTGGTATAATTGTTTCGGGCAATAACACAACCGCAAGAAGTCATCCGGTGCATCAACATTAGGAAAACACACCTCAACCAAATGTTAAAATTGTGGGTGTCCACAACCAGAAAAAAGGGTCATACATAGACCCTGAATCAAGATATGACATTAAAGTGTCTGAACCAACTGAAGAAATCAAATGGAAAGTAAGTCTGTGGTAATGAACATGCATAATACCTTGGCAGGAGAAGAAGGTACAGATAAATCTGCAGCAGGGCTTTTTTGTTTCGACGAGAGATTCCTGAGAAAGAGATTATCCATGATTCTTTGACCGAAAGTCTGACTCCGTTGGAGATTCCCAGCTTCTGCATCCTTTTGAGCCCTTTCAGATGGCGATGGAAGACCTTTAAGGGAATCAGGGAGGTTACAAGTCATCTTACAAAAACAATATCCATTAAACCAGTTTACCAAGCGCAAAACCATTTTCTTCAATAGCAGTTATTCTCAATAACATGAAATGCAGAGTTCAATAGCATGGAAGTGAGAGTCAACCTTCAGAACCGTCAAACTTGGGTTGTAAAGGACCAGCCTGTGGGGAAACGTTTCCATTATCTAGATGACTGTCAACCGAGGTACCAGAAGCATTGGCCTCTAAAACTCCAGTTAGGACCATACTCTTTTTCGTACTGTCAAAGCTCAAAGCATTCAACAGCTCCAGTGGTTGAGTTGTGTACATTACATCTCTGGACAATCAAATGAATGTATCAGAACGCATTGGTGACCATAATATGTTGGCAGTGAGAGAAATTCACCTTATGCTTTTCAAAAGCATATCCCAAGCGCTGTCACTAAATTGGTGTCCTCCAACTTCTATAAGATGAACCAATGCGCCTAAAGCAATTGAAACAACCATCTGATCCGATTTCTTTGCACAGTCCAACAGCAAACTCAAAAGGGGAGGCAGCATAAAACAAACTTCCTGCTCCAAAGGCAAATTGTTGATGGTCAATTTTCCAACACACTATTAATGTTTTGACAGTTTTCCAACAGACTATCAATTTATATCCTTCATACGATCTCTTGTGGTGGACATGACCCTAACATTTACTCAAGCAGTCAACAGAAAAGGTGTACTCAGAGAAGGTGACAAGAAGGGCAAACAGAGCTGTATCGGCACCTTGTAAAATGTATTGAAAAGATTGCAGAGGAGCTGGAGCGAATGAATGCTTGTTTCGCGAAATAACACATCCCCAGAAGATATCAAACTTTCCTTGCCAGCATGCCTCACATGATCAAAAATTGGAAACAAGATGCGATGGAAGATGCTCTCCCAGAACGGGGTCGAGAACTTTTTGCCTCTTTCATTCAGCAGATCAAACAACACCTCAAGGGCACAGTTTCTAACTTCGGGCCTTAAATCTGATGTGAGATCAGATAAACCGGCGAGCATTGGAAACCAGTAATGTTCTGTCACATCAAAAGTTTCATCTGCATTGGCATCGATTGGCTTGAGAGTACCACCAGGAATAAGTCCCTAAAAATCAACAATACATTAGGTATATGAGCAATGATGAGTATGAGGAGATCACGAAGGAGGTGAAGAACACCCAAGAGAGATTTGTACCAAGCAGCAAAAAAGGATGGAATCTGGATTACACAAAAAATGTAGGCCAAAAAGGAAAAGGAAAAAATGCAGAGCATGGAGTGACAATTGCCATTTAAACAACATACCTCTGCTAGCCGATCCTCACATATTCTCAGAAGAGCAATAGCCTTCAAGCTTATTCGATGAGAAGCTTTGTTATTGGCAAACCTGATGAGACAGTTCACGCAGTCCATGAAACAATCACCGATCACCTGGTCAAAGTGTTCCAGAATAACTGCAAACAAACGAGAGGTTGCATAAAATGACTGATAAAGAAATGAGCGGGAGAAACGACACTGAAACACGGATGCAGGTGCAAGAGTTTGATAGACAGATTGTCACCCTGCTCTACATTCTCAAATGATTTTTCAACAATCGATTCATCTTCATCATCTGCAGCTGCTGTGAATATCATAAAGACACTCCGCCATCCAGATTTAATGCTTCCAACTTTAGATTTTATCATCTAAAATGAAAGAACAAAAAAAAGAAGATTCATTAGCAGTTCAAACTGTAACCGCAGAGTATGCAAAAAGAGCAAAAACTCATTTCCAACTTTGGAAAAATTTAAGCACCTGAACAATGCAGTCAACAATGAGACTCCTTATAGTCTGACTTCGAGTATTCCGCATGATAATGACAAATGGCTTGAGAATGTCATTTTGGAAAGTGAAATTGGTAAGCTCAGCACGTTCCAGATATTTCATACCAAGCTGTCTCAGAGAATCTATGGCATACATTGCAATCTTTTCGTCATGATGGCTACCAGCAGAAATAAAATGCTCAGCAAGGACACACCAAATTCTTGCCCAGACCTGACATATTTCACAAGAGCACAAATCAAACAAGTAAATCTGCATTCTTTTTTCTTCCACTGGTCTGCACAACATTTACACCATTGAAAAAACACAGCTGGAGATAAAATAATATGTGTACACTTCACAATTATGTTGACAAGGGGGTGGAGTACGGGTTTCTGTAGTAAATACCATGCTTTTCTAAAAAGCACATCTAAAGATATTCTGAAATAAGAACGATACACTAAGAAAAATGATGAAAATCTTCTGTTTTACTGTCCAATTTTGTTGTTAACATTCTCATATTCGCATTGGATCAGCTTATGGCAAGAGGATACAGCACCGGCTGTGTACCTGTAGCCAAACATGAGTAAAAAGTACAGTAGAGTTGATTAGAAGAGTACCATCCGAATACGAGCCATATTGTAATAGCTGATCTCAACAAGCTTTTGCAAGCTGTAAACACGGGCAGGAGATTGTTTCAGTTCTTCAGCAGAAACACCGCATAGAGCAGTAAAAAACTCCACTACCGATTCACTTGGCAGTTTAACACTGTTAACAAATACTTGTTCAGATGGTTTCCCGGCTAATTCCTTCAATGATTGAACAACAGCATCCCTGGAGATTTGATTTGATCCATGCATAACTGTGGCAGCAATTCCCGGAGTTGAAATGATATATTCAAGCCGAGAAACACATTCTAAGACAGCATTCCAAGTGTCTTGAAGGGTATCAGGCTCTACATCACATAAAGCCAGCAATGTCCGCAATGCTTCAACATTTTTGCTGCGCATTTCTTTTGGTGCATGCAAGAAAGTAAATCTGCAGTACAATTTGAATACATAGTTACACATGGTGCTTGCTTTGTTCCACTAAAGCTTGCAAACAAAGAGTCAGGTAGAAGGCACTAACTTCCAAAAATTAATCATACATAGTCAATAATCAATGCAGCAAAATTTACGCAACACTAAAGCAAACGAGGGAGTCGGGAAAGAATTGATACAACTTTACCTGACAAGTGATGTTAGAAAAGCATACCGCATGGTATCCATTCCAAGAACATAAGCTATATGAATCCCAGCTTTAAATCCCTCCATGCAGAGAATGATCCTAGGTTTGTTATCACCTACCTCCATCGTAACAGAGAAAGCAGCTAGCAGAGGCCACCCAACAGCTTCTACCATAGGCCTTACAATTTCTACCTGGTCCACAGTGTGAAAGACTCCTCTTTTTACTCCCCGCTTCCTGAAAATTTCCTGCGTTTTCCTAACTATATCCTCTGTCTCAGACTTAGCATCAGCTGCTGATTTACTTTTTGGCAAAGCCAAATTAAGAATACCGACAAGACCACCTCTTTCTTCTCCTGGTCTCTGACCGTTGTATTTCTTGATACTACTGTCGGCATCTTTCAGTTTAATTTCTTCTTTTACTATTGAATCATATATCTCTTCCAGAAGTTCAGTTGGCGCACAATCTTCAGGATCATTCGTAGCATTCATACGTATAAAATCTGATTTTGACATTTTAGGCCAGACCATTGGATTATGTGCATCTGTATTCAACATGATAACCGCATAGGCTAGAACATAAGCGGTATCTGCATTTTTGAAAAGACCTGGATTGTCTGCACAATATCTACTCGAAACAAAACATTGACAAAAAGAACAACATTTAGATACATGACAAGAGAATAAGATAGTCAATATATTGGATCTTTCAATTTGGGTTCTTAAATGTTTGACATTCATATTGTCCACAGATGTGTGAATTTCATTGTAAGAGTAACTATATAGTCTTCAATATATATGTCTGTACTAAATAAATGATTTGTAGAGAGAATAAGGTGCATGGAATCCTTACCGCTCTGCAAACTTTTCCATAATGCGATCAATTTTTTGAGCCTCTCCAGGAAGTCTAAAACCTTTAAGAAATTCACGAATAGCGGTATCGAACTTCATCCCTGAAAAACTCATTGAGTCAACATACGCATGCATGACAGCAAGGGGGAACTCATCGTGTTGGCCCAGATAATCGCCTATCATGACCTGTGCATAAAAGAAATGGGTTACATACTACCGATAAAAACTGAAAATAACCTCTAAAGGTGGGATTCCTTTCTACCTTGTTCAAACTTGAAGTATTTCTCAGAAACTGGGCAACTGAGGCAGGATTCCTTTCAACTAACTTGTTTGCTATTAGGTATTCCACACCCTTCACTGAATTCCTGTTAAACTGCAACACGATTATCTATAGTTAATATGTCAAGATAAGATACTAATGCATCGGGGTATTGAACAATAACCTCAGAGATGGCAGCCTCCATTGTGGATTTATGAGCCTTTGCCTTCTCGAAATTGCTTGGGACATCATCCCCGCTTTTGGCTTCAATTGGTTCCCCAGCTGGACCAGAGTCTTCATTTGCCTGCCGTGTTTTATTTTCTCTCTCTCTCCTCAATTTCTCCCAATCAACCAGTGATTTAAGAACATTGACGAGGCACTGGAAATATTAAAGAAGAAAGGTTATTCGATTTGGTTATTAACATTTTACATGAAACCATATCAATTAAAAGATACTGATCCTAGTAAACCAATTTCCGGAATGCAAGTATAACAAAACATGACTTGATGCCTACCTGCAGTGATGAACCTTTAACCGAAGCTGTCTGTGAAGAAATAGCTGGGTTTGGATCAGCGCTTTGGGTCCCTTGTGCAATTTTTGAGAGTGTTGTTACCTAGAATAAAGCGAGCAAATAATGTTTTTATGCCTGCCATAAACATTACCTGAGTACATCACCCACTTATCATGTTAAAAAACAACGCATGCCATACCATGCGCTCAAACAAGTTCGGTGCTTCTAAATCACAATCATAGTTTACGTATACATCGACAAGCATCTGAGGGTCTTTACAGACTTTCTCAAGCATCCTGCAAAAACAATACACATGAAACTCGCAGCGAAACTGATCACACCCTTCTAAGTTTTATATCGAAAATATTATCTTTAATTCCTGAATATCTGGACAGAAAGAATAAGCATTGTACCTGAGGACGCCCATCTTCTGCTCAATGGGGCATTCCGTGCTATCTAATGATCGCAGGGCGATGATGGGGAAAAAGATACCAATTTCACCCTGAAACAAAAATTTAAGACCAGAAACGATATAGGATTAAAAAAATATCAAAACATAAATACAGAATAAAATGGGGATATGACATGCTTACTTTCAAACTATCTCTGAATCGCAGTAAAAGCACTGAGAAGATACCAGATGCATACTGCACGAAGCAAGATTCCCAGTCAGGCACAACATTCTAACAGAAGAATTTTCAAAACTTTTATTGAAGCGAAGAAAATTAGCTCATTAAAATAAACCTGAAATATGACAGGAGATTGCGAAACTGTAGCCCGCAACAAAGCATACGAGAGATAAGCTTTAACTGAATCAATAAAATGAAAGTTCTTCGTAAATGAGTGGTTGACTCCTTCTAGCAAACCCTGAAAATGAGATGACAAATTACTAAAGAAACATTGTCAAACAAAATAATCTGAAAGATACTATAAAGAAAAAGGACAAGAAGTAACAAATCTGAGGTTAACCAATCTTTCTCTTATATCTCAGTTTAAGAGAGAGTGAAAATCATGGGCCTTCCGCAAACTTACAACTAAGAAGCAACATGGTAAAGTGTTTCTGATAAAATGTCACTAACCACTGGATGGGAAAAAACTGGAAATTTTACAATCCACAACAAATACAGACCTATATACCCACACACGTGCGAGCAGGAGTGCACAATTATTACGCTCTAGAGTGTCATGCAAAATCTTGAATGATAAACGTACAAATCAACCTTCGGATGCTATAACTAAGTTCACCTGAAGAAGCTCTAGAGATAATATGCGGGTCTTGGTTGTAACTTCATCGATATCTTCCTTCATGCCCATCTGATACAACATTTCAAACATTTGCAAAAGAAACCCCAAGAACATGCTAGGCCAGGAAAAATGACAGTATTCAGAAAGCAAACCTTGCAAAGTGTGCGGAATACTAGTAATGCATCACGCTGTCCAATACTCATGGTTTCAAGCTCAATGCCACTGTATCAAAATAAGTTGGGTCCATAGACTTAAAGAATGTAGAGAAAATGCAAAACATGTAGAACTAGATAGTACATGCAGATAGGAACTTATGTGTGCATGTTTATATGTATCTTAAGCATACACACATAAAAGCATATGTATGCATAACGACTAACAAGGTGGATAAATATGCTAAAGAAAAATTGAAAGAAATCAAGTGAACAGAAAGCAATGAGCCACACCGTTTTATCTTCTGTCCGTCATCAAGATGCACAGCTTTATCAAGCACAGCTTCTAAACCCTGGTCATAGAACGAAGAAATCAATTCATACCAAAAATTATATATTTTCCACTACGGAAGACAGAGGCTACGACCAATCAAGCAGAAAGAAAACAAGATAACCAAAGAAATTGTCCTACAAAGACTTGTCCTAGCCTTAATATTCTTGTATTGCTTTCTATTTTCAGACCGAGAAATGATTTAATATAGTTGATACTATTAAAAAAAAAAGAGAAGTCGTTAGCAAGAATTGCGAGACAAATGACTGAGATACATATCTAGTTACAAAAATGAGGGTTCTTTAAAGAAAGAGTGCTACAGACAAAAGAATCATTTTCAGAGATAGTGTGGTTCTTTTTATAAAAGAAGCATACAACCCCAATGCAGTTGCCACAGTTACAGCTGAAAAGACGGAAAAAAACTTAGAAATATACGATAGGGACCAACCTTGATGTCGGCTCCGCCTACAAGGGTATGCAGTTCTTCAACAGAAGCAAGGGTTGTGTCTTTGGCCTGATTGAGAGCATCTCCTAGGGTCATTTCTTTCTCATTTTGGTCATCATTTTTTGAGCTTGTACTCTCAACTGAAACAGGTTCTTGAGCAGACACTGTGGATGAAGCAGAAACCTAAAAATCCATTCAATTGTCAACAACACCTCAATAGAGCATTTACTTTTTTCAGGTATTCGACGTAAAAAAATGCAGGAATGAGAAAATTAAATTGCTTACGATGTCCGTCTCCATTCTTCTGAATACAATGCTTATCATCTGAGTCAACATTGCTTTAGAAGTTACTTGGTTTATTGGGCTCTTGCTGCACATACAAACTGCACTCAGTCCTTACAACTCGAATGATCACAGGACAAAGTTACAGAAAGGAGAGATAAAGTATACCTGTTCAGAGCAACATTATAGCAAACTCGGATAACTCCCAGCAATGGCTCGCCATGCACTACATACGAAATGGATTTATAAGATTATATATGATAATATATGCACATTACATGAGGGGTACATACATGTATGTGCTTTTGCAATGAAATCAAGGCCCATCTGTTCATTGCCTTCTGCAAATTGGGGAAAACGTAGCATTTCTGTATCAGAAGCATACCTCTGAACTTTGCTGAAGCGACAGCTGTAAGAAGAACCTTCAGCACTTGAAGTAAAGTACTGCAAAGTTCTCCTCGAATTAGAATAAGTTCAAGCAGTATGTCACCGAGATGACAAGACATAAGTACATATACCTGTCTGGTGATGAATTATCAAAGCAATTGCAAACCATGTTCAGGACATCTGTGAAAGGTGCAGAGTTTTTGCCACTTTCTAGACCAGGATCCCCCTCTAGATGATCATATGCAATGAGTTTCTGAGCTTGCAAAAAATGAACTGGTAAGAAGCATATACCGGATACTATAATGTATCAGACAATGATTGGATAAACACAACATAAATACAGAATTCAAGGAATCTCAAACAAAACAATGTTTTCTGGTAAATAGCCAAGGATATTGAAAACATAATGTCAAGTAAATACGCACATGAATGCAATCCAAAGCAGCATCAAGAATTTTTATATTTTTTGTCTCAAATGCAAGGTGAAGAGGTTTCAGAACAAGCTCCAGTTCAGCTCCATCTAGCGTGTGTCCTGCACTTGCTAAGGAGATATTGATGGACCCACTTTTTGGCTGGCCAGCCTGCTCAACAACTTCAGAACTCTGAACATCTTCCTGTGGTTCATCTCCTTCTCCCCTGTTTTTTTCAGGACCACCTTCAACTTGTGAACTGAATTTAGATATTACAATAAGATTAGCGCACCATGAATAGCTCCTTAGAGTAAACTTAGTTCTCTCATGAGAAAAACAAGTAGATGGAACAGTAAAGCACTACTACAACACTCTAATATCTTAGCTCAAGTAAGGCGAGGCCAAATATATGGAGATTCGAGGGCACTTGAAAATAAACATGGAAATTCGCTGGAAAAAAGATGAAGAATGAGCTCACATGAAGATATTTTTGAGCTAGAAAAATGGGGAAACCAAAGGAAGGAAGAAAGCTATGCCGACTTCCATTCACAAGTAAATTGGTAACACAAAACCCCTGAAAAATTAAGAACTCCAAAGGAATGGGCTGAAGTTAAAATCACGGGAACGGCTCTACCACAATTGAAACTCATGTTTTAAGGAAAAATGCAAAGAAAAAAGAGGTGTCTGCCAACTATCAAAATATTTAAATGTATAAAGAGTGAGACTGGTAGCACTCACGCCAGTGAAAAAAATATATATGGGTAACTACCTAAATTAGAAAACAATGCTTCAAATAAAATATCAATTATCTTTTGGAAAAACTCAAACCCTTGGTAATATACGCTATCGGAATGTTTAAAGGTAAAAAGGCTAGCAGAAAATGGAATCTCAAGGGCAGGTCTTTACCTCCCATCTGTGGCCAACTGTTCAGCTTGAGTAACAGTCTTCGGACCTTCTATAAAAAAATAAAAATATATATATATAAAAACATAAATAGAAGCTAAACAAGTTAGTAAATGCGATTATCATCACCGGCATGTTTTTGCTCACACAAGAAGATAAGACGGATATTACCAGTAACTTTGAAATAATAACGAGGCTACATTTGCGTGAATATAGATAGAAGAACCTTAATGCAAAGATTTGTTTAGAATTCAGAAATTGCTCGGCAGCAATGGCTAAAATTTCTTTCCACAACTCATGATATACAATATAAAATTTCAATATCTAAGAGGCATATGCAACTTAGGTTAGCCTATATTCCAGAGATAACTATAATAAGAAATCTAGAATAACATTAAAATAATGAGGCTAAGAAAAGTTGCGAAAACAGATAAGAAAAAAATACAGGATGATTGTTTAGATGTCAGAAATTGTTGGACAGCAATGTCTGGCTAAACATCCCTTTTTACAAGTCATAACTATAAAGAACCCTCTTATCCTAAACATCCTTTCAATACCTCATGATATATTATAGAACATTCCAATATCTAAACGGCACATTCAGCTCAAGTTAGCCTATACCCCAGAGATAGCGAGAACAAGATGGCACGGACATTCTTTTCTTTGATCTCGTAACTAGAAAAAATGCATTCTAATCATGTAGCCCATATCTTTTCTTCCTTGCACAAAAAATCATGAATCATTGGAACCCTACGAGAGTTATCTGTTCCTGAATATTATATTGGTTAACAAAAGGTTAAGAAGCTAAAGGCTCTGGTGTTGCTAGGTAGCATTTTTGTTAACAGGTATACATCCAGGAAATATTAGGGTGTTCTCTCTATGGAATTATTTAAACCTATTATATGTTCTCAGCCAGGTATCCTCCTCTGAATGGTCATAGCCAAAGGGGAATAGATTGTCCAGACCTCCTCTCCCTCACCCTCACTTCAGGATCTCCCAATATACATCTATTTAAGGGTCTAAAGAAATAGAGCAGACAAAACATGAATAGTAATTCTCATTATTATTTCAACGTTGTGGGTGTTTCACACAGACTGTAAGAGACCAGGCTAAATGATGTGTTTCTCCCTTGATTACTTCAGTAGTACACCCAGAAAATGAAGGGTAACGCTCTATAAAGTTCAAGTCGGCCAACTTGCACATAATAGGTGCCACAGGAGTAATTGTTACTAATGAATCAGATCCTTACTTAAGTCAGACTAAAGAAATTTTGGAGTGCCTCAGTGTTTCAAGGGATGAGATAATTCATGCACGGAAAAAGAATGCTCCGGGCCTATTAAATTGAAGACATAACTACAGGTAAAACATGGACTCCACCCATCATTAACACGGACTAACCCCTAATAAAGAATATCTCCAGCAGGAACTCAGTCAATCAGTTTTGAATGATCCAAGTGAAAGTGCATAATCTTTCAACATAAATCCATACTTACAAAAGACATCAACAGACGAGCTGATCAAGGTTCTCATTCAATCTCCTCAGTAACTGAACGCTTGGATGCAAACTTAAAACCAGAAAGGGGTCCCAATTCCGACCTATGTAAGTATCATTACCCAATAACAAGGAACCAACAGAGAAATGATTAAGCATCCACAACATCGGGTACAAGCTTTTGGGTATTGAAGACAACTAAGATGTCTGAATTCCATAGCTCGTCCTATCACACCACACTGATGTTCTCTACAAAGCACTGACATAACCTGATTCTATGACTAATACGGTCACATGACTGCATCGGTAACTTATACGAATCGCACAGCACGATAGCGATAATACGATGGAGAAAGAAAAGGCTCGCTGACAATCTGTTCAACACCACCGAACCAAAAATAGCGGAAATGAGAACGGACCTTGATACGATTGAATAGCTTTCTGGAGATCGGGATACTTCTTGCTCGCGCATTCCTTGAGCATCGCCTCGAATGCACGGGTCACGAATCCCCCCGCCGCCATTTTTCTATCTCTCACGCCGAGAAATTCACTCTTCTCCTCCTTCTTTGGCGTCTTCTTGTTCGCCTCCTCCTTCGACAGCGATTCTCTGCAAAAAGAAAATCGAACAAGATGAACAAATCGAATTGAATCATGCGAAACTTAAGATGAAATCGAACTAAGAAACGAAATTGAGGAAGTAGGAGACTGGAATTTGCCTGAGAAGAGAGGGTTTGAATTTTCCTTGTCGAAAGCTTCGATCGGAGAGAGATCTGAAGCAACGGAACAATCCGCTCTGCAGATCTTGAACTTCGTTTTTGTTGATATACCAAAAAAAATGTCAAGGGTTGTCTGAAATGACCGTTTTACCCCTGATTTTCGTACTTTTCATTTTCCTTCCTATAAAAAAAGAACTACATGACATTATTTTTCAATAAGAAAGTAAAACCATATGATCTGAATCTGGTCGCTTCTGCGATATAATTATTTAATTTTCCATCCGTGATTATGCGAAATCCGATGAATAATCTTTCTCCTCAAACCTAAGTTTCATCGCATCAGTATTTAATGACGGATCGAATTAGAGGGATTTCATTTTCGCTTCAAGAATAATAAAATTGGAATATAACATTGATATTATTCAATGTAAAATGATGAACAGAAGAAAACCTGAAAATGATATAATATTGTATTGTACAACCATTTTAATTTCCATGGTAATTATCACACATTGTTTTGAATATACCCCTTTTTAATACCTAAATTACAAAATCTACCCCTCTTCATATAATTCCCCTACAATCAAATATCCTAAAATTAAATAACATTTTAAAAATGTAAAATTAGAAACTGAAAACAGAAAAAAATGATTCAGGCGAGTAGATCGTCTCCGAAGAGGTAGAGAAGCCGTTCGACGGCCCAGCTGGGCTCGTTCTTCGCCGGAAAACCCGCACAACACGACGCCGTATCATGCGTAAGCAACGGCGCTCTACACAGAGGACAAGTCCGGTGGTGGTTGTCATCGCCGCTGCCGTCGTCGTGCTCTTCGTAATCAAGCCACCGGTCGATGCACTCCCGGTGGAACACGTGGCAGCAGTTCCTGAGCTCCCTGACCTCGTCTTCGTCTTCCAGGCTGCCCAGGCACACGGCGCACGTGTCGCTGATCGTCGCCGGAGATCGCTCCGCCGCGTCTCGAAACGTCGTCACGGCGAGGCTAAGCTTGATCGCCTGAGAGGAGATCGACTTGGAGGAGGAAGACGATGCGGATCCAGATCTTCCGGATCCGGAAGAGGATCCGGAAGATCTGGATCGGTGACGGAGAATCCACGCGAGGATCCATCTCAAAACGGCGATGATAACCGCCGTTCTGTAGAGAACTTGAGTGATGATGAGACCCGAATCTTCGATGAAGAAACTCATTTCTCTTGGCTGAGAATTTTGCTGAAGTATGCGAAGAACACTTGCAGTGAGAGAGAGAAGGAGGGAGGGGGGGAGAGAGAGAGGAGGACCATGTGCGCTTTTAAAGGGAAATAAAGTTTTGCTGATGATACGGTTGGTTTGCTTTTTTTATTTACTTTATCTTTTAATTGTTTTATTTATTTTTTAAGGAAATAGCTAAATCAAAATATTTTTGTTTTTTGGGTGCAAGTTGGACTTCCGATTTCCTTCCTTCCGTTCTTTATGCAAAGCGGGTACCATATAAATATATATATATACACTTTATGTATGAATAATGTTTATGTGTGAGAACATAATCTATGCATATTGGTTTTAAGTTTTTATATGATATAATGATACAATTGATAACTTATAATCAATTAGAGAAAAAGTATATTTAGTATCTATTCTTTTTATATGATCTTATTTTCTTGTTTACTCTCACGTTCAATTTCTTTTATATATTTTGTTAGAACATTATAACTAATTAACTATATTGATAATAATAACAGGTTCGAGATGTTTTAAATGTTCATTCAAAACATGATTTTCCGATCATGCAGTATAAATATTTGTCGACCGCTGAATTTTAATTGATATGATTGTATAATTGGTAAAAATGAATGAAAGAGATATAATAATGTATGATTTGATATTATATATACGAATTCAAATTATACGCGTTTTTTAGCACTCTTTATATGACGTCATCATATATGGCTTTTTATCTCTCTTTTTACCAAAGCACCCTAAAGATAACATAGATTTCACATTTCGTTGATCGTTTTTGTTTCCTTTTGAATACGATGACGATCCATTAATTTCTTTATTTGGATAAATAATACTTTATACAGAATTATTTTTTTATTTTTTTTAGCGTTTTTAAAAGTAACAATATAAAAAAAAGATTTAAATAGCATTTCCTTCTAATTCTAGATAACCTATACATATTCGAGTGCTTATGAACAGCAATATCTCCTCTAAAAATTAGCCTCTAATAACATTTTTTTATCCGAACCCTTATAAGCTCGATTAATCTCTGAAACCTATTACAGCGTTAAATCTTTAAAGCTAAACATTTTATTAGAGTGTAAAAAAATCATTTATAAATTAAATTATGAACAATTGATGATTACAAATTAAATTTGCATCTAAGTGCGCAAATGGACGCGCACCCTTTGATCTTCCGTTGGTATTGTGACTTCGCCTATTCATTGCATTAACGTATGCATTTCTATTGAAATATATTTGACTTTTGGTTACAAAAATTAAGTAAATGCAAAAAAACACTACAGTCCACGTGTCTTCTTTTTTCTTGTCATCAGACTTTATTAATCCACGTAAGATTTCTATTAATTACAATAATAAAGTAGAAAAATAAGAAATTAAAAACAGGGCATTAGGTAGAAAAAAAGGAAAGAAAGGTGTATAAATCCACGCACATGACACCATGGTTACGTTAATAAAGACAATGTGGGCCCCGTCAGACACATCAGTCTCCAAATTATCCAACTCAGATTCCATTATTTTCCCTCTTTTCTTGTCTGTTTTTTTAAAAGAAAATAATAAGCAAATAAACGGTGCATATATAAATTAATAAAATAGTCAACTTACCTCTTGGAATTATGAAAAATGGGTTTCCGACAACAGTTGGGTTGGGTCATATCTTTTTCCTTGCCAATGAATAAATATGTATTAAATTAAAATAAGTTAAATGAATGGCGTTTAGGTGGGATTTCATTTCCATGTGGAAAAGACGTTACAGCTAAGTTTTAGATTCATCGCTTGATTACATTATTCGTATTTAGACGCATCATCCTAAGAATTATGCAACTTTTTTTTTCCCAGGAATATTTTAAAACTATTATTACTATCTTTCAATTCAACATTCATCACCTACATATATAACTGAAAAAAATAAAAATATATTTATAATATTAGAATTTACATATTATATTACAAACACTAAGGTTTAACAATATACCATGCTTGCTTTTGTCTATTTGTCGTTAACTGTTCTCTTCTACGTGTGTTCCTCTAGAATATGGTTTGAGATCGCGGGAGGGCAATTGCATGCTGCATAATGCATGGATGTTCGACTCTTTCGCGAAAGTAAATGACGAAATAGAGAAAGTTTTACTTATGATGGCCCTTTCAACACATCCGCATTGCGGTCTGGTTAATAACCAAATAATCGAATCGATTTAAATCCAAAAAATATAATCTGAATAAAAGAAAAACTAATTGATAAACCCGAAAATTTATTTGAAAAAAAAATCATTTTAATCAATAAAAAGAATAAAATCTCAATATAAAAACTGAATGATTATAATTTTTTAAAACCGAAATAATCGAAACCAAACCAAATAAGCCACCCTTATCCAAAGCCACCTCTTCTCAAATGTCTTTGCGTGAAAAAAAAGGGACTAAGTTACAACTGTTCATACCAAATCAGTACATTTCCAGTCTCTTGGGCATTTCCACACAGCCGCTTTACCATCGATTCTGATAAGATAAAAGGGGTACACTCACCAAACATTGATCAGGCCGGGCAGAGGAAGGAGTGAGCATTTAGTTTAGTGAAAGCTGCGCATGATGCCATGGATATAGCCTCCGGTCATTATAAACGATACAAACGACACAACTCCAGCTGGAAATATCTTCTTCGATCTCATGAAACGGGTTCCCATCATCCACGTCAATGCAGCCGCCATCGCTTTCAAAGGCACAAATAACAAAAGACGGGCATTAGAGCTTACCCTCCATCTCTATGGGAGCATTCTCATAAAAAAAAAAGAGTCATTGTCGCTACTATGGATTACCATCATTTATCCGTTAAGCGTTTCTAACAAAAGCCATCCATCCACTCAAAGTGCTCTAGAAATTCAGTACTTAAATTACAAAGCTTTGTGAATAATTGACTAGTCCTCTAATTGTCAGTTATCATAAAAGTTTAGAACTTGGAACACAAATCTAAAGGATTGAGACATGAGTCACCAAACCCAGGGGAAGTAAACCCAAGGGAAGATTCAAGGGCATGAATCTAATTTCAATTTCGACATTGATCATCTTTTGAGATGACACAATAGTAACACAGAGTAGAGGAACACGGTTTTCATGGATGGGATATGTCTGCTATTTGATATCTTTTTCTTACCTACGCCAACGGTCGATGCTAAAACAGGTTTTGTCGGAAGTTCCCGAAAAACGTAAAACAAAACAGCAGCTGACAGTCCACCGGCAAGCAGCGATTTCTGGCTACCACTCTTTAGGTAACCCATCAATCCACCCACTGAATCACAAACATGAAGCAATCATAGCAAAATGAGATACTGAAGCACTAACAGACTAAGCATACATTTAACAACTGCAAATATGAATTAGCAAGTTAGACTGGATAAACTGCATCACAGAGCCAACAAAGCATTAACAGATTAAACATACATTCAATCTGAGTACAAGCTTCTAGACAACAAAATACATATTTCCAAGCTATCATTAACCAGTTTTAATATATTTCAAGTAATCGACAATGCGGTTTTGAGGTCTCCATTCATCTAACGAGTATGCAATTATGAGGTCATCGGCATCAATCCCTGATAAAATAACTTGGGGAATGTAGAAAGGAAAGGATAAACTCAAACTCAGTCAAAAGTCAGCCATGGCCATGGTAGAAACTGAGCTATCTAAAACTTTCTACTATTATGTATCAAATTCTGCTGAATTCAAGCCATGAACACATACATACAACAAAATCGATCATGGTGAAAAAAAGAAAAACACATTTACAAGATCTTAGCAAACCCATTGCCATTTTCCTGGGGTAGGGTTTTAAGAGCATTTCGCATCTTTGTTGTTCAGTGTGGTAATCTTGCTATCCTCACTGTACTGAACCCATCACTCTGTATGTCTACAAAACCCTAAAACGCTCATTTTCCAGACCAAAACAGCATAAGAAAGATTATTTTCACGACAATGATTAAGAATCAATGTTCCAAGCTCAGCTTCCATTAGAGTTTTACCTCCAACAAGAGCAGCGTAACCAAGAGTCAACTTCTGTGACATAGACAATCCCATCTTTCCCTTTCCATCATCCTGCGACTCCTCGCCATCTCCGTCCTGTTTCCCGCCATCTCCATCTCCACTGCCTCCTCCTCCTCCTCCGCCGCCGCCGCCGCCCAACTGATCACCCCCATCTCCTCCGCCGCCCGTCTCAGACTCGATTTCAACCGTTCTGATCCCTGAATCAACGCCATTGGCAGTAACCGAGGTGACCGTAGACAATATGGTAGAATCCAAGGGAACAATCAAATCGGCGACGGCGATGGTACCGAACTGACACCGCCGGTGATCGGAGGCGAAAGCGAGAGCACGAAATCCGCCAGATTTAAGGAACGAGAGCCTTTGGATCGATGGAGAAGTAGAGTTCGTGAATCGGAGCTTCGGTCTCAGGTGAAGAAGAGAGGACTGTGCCGAAGAACCCAACAGCAAATCCGCCATTTTTTCTCTTGCTTCTCGTCTGTCTTCGCCGCCACTGTAATGTGCGCTTTTCTAAAATTCTAATGGCATCGAACCGAACCAAACCGATATAAACCGCACACGGTATAATACGACAAACCAAACCGTATTGGACCGGCTTCTTTTGTTTTCCTCCTGATCAAGAAAACTCTCTACCGAGACAAAATCAGAACAGAAGACGTACGTACTCGGAGATTATTAAAGGAACGAAGCAATCTTGAGAAATCCCCAAATTCGCCCGAAACCCTAGAAATTCGTGATGGATGCATCTTCTTCACCGTCGTCTTCCGAGGAAGGCTTGAAGCAGGAACTGGATGATTTGCAGAGACAGCTGAACAAGAAGCTGAGATTCGAGGAGTCGGTTCGGTCTATCCATTTTCTTCTTCGTGATCGCTACGCCTCTGCATCTCCTTCTCTCCGCAAACAGGTGAGGTTTTGTTATGTACCGTTGGATTTGGGACAATAAGATTTGACAGTCTTAGCTCGGAACGTTAAGAGTTGTGTCGGTAATGGTGAAAGGCTGCTGTTTAATGATGAATCTAAGTTGTTGTTTGTGTTGGACGATGATTTCTGTAAAATGGTTCTGAAGAATTGAGTTACAGGTCAAATTCTGTTCTTGGCTTCTGTTGCGATGGTGAAAAAAATTGGAATTTTGCATGGTTATGTCAATGAACTTGATCCGAGATGTATTTCAACTGATGCATGGATTTCATAATCTCTAGGTCTTATTCAATATTGTACATAACGAATGAAATGTCCATGGTTTCTCATTGTCTTTGTTTATGGTTCAATTTTGATGTGGCCATGGCAGTTCTACACAGTTGTATGTCGTGTGGCAACAGTTTTAAAGACCAGATATACAGCAACCGGCTTCTGGCTTGCGGGACTGCATCTCTTCGAGGAGGCTGAACGCCTTGTATCTAATGCTGCCGAGAAGGAGCATTTGAAATCTTGCATTGCTCAAGCCAAGGAAGAGTTAAACGAAGTGGATAATCCACCCACGGAAGAACCACAAAATAATGGAAACAGAGGTTGCTGGTTATAAACGTATAATAGGTTATATATAGTATTTTTAGTTTTCTGTTCTCGGAATTGTTCAACATTCTCAGGAATGATTTTGTTATATTTCCGTTGTCAAGGTTATCTTTTTGAGGGGCATCTAACAGTTGACCCTGAGCCGCCACAGCCTCAGTGGTTGGTACAGCAGAACCTCATGTCTGCCTTTGCTTCTATCGTCGCTGGTGAATCCTCCCGTGGTCCTGGGGAAAACAATGATGCTGCAGCTACTGCCGACTTAATGCAAGAGCTCATCAATAGCCTTGACAGTGTCATCCCTGAGGTATTTCTAGTCCTGCTGCATTGTTTCTTCTTACTGTACTACATGAAGTTTTCAGTAGAAAATGAGTCCAGGTCTAGCGATCGAGAATAAAGGGAGCGAGACTACTAGAAAGTGTCGGAATTCACTTTTCTCCTCTTTGTCCTGATTTGGTTATTGGGCTGTCGATTTCATATCAGTCGGTGTTTAACTTCAGTTTTTTTGCTTAGTGTAAGCATTCACATGTTATTGATTGTGTTTATTTTCTCTAGATACTAGAAGTTGATGGTGCACCACCAAGAGCTCCACCTGCAAGCAAAGAAGTTGTGGCTAAACTTCCCGTGATTGTTCTCACAGAGGAAGTGCTTAACAAGCTAGGACCCGAGCCAGAGTGTTGCATCTGCAAGGAGAATCTCGTCGTTGGAGACAAAATGCAAGAGTTGCCTTGCAAGCACACGTTTCACCCTCCTTGCCTAAAGCCTTGGCTGGTAACCTTCCTTTACCATATGCTTGTTCATAGCTGAAGCATACTTTGAACAAAATGGAAAAACTCCGGGATTGTTGTTTAGCTGAGATTTAGACCATAGCGGTTCATGATTCGTCGGCGGGTACCTGAGATTTTTAGGCCACCCGACCCGGCTTTGGAATGCTCTGGTTTCTCAGTTGGGAGCACTCATGATGGTCGGGTACCCGAGCTGCGGATATCTGCCAGGCATGGTGAGGATTTGGGTACCTGGCTGGCGAGAAGTGAGTTAGTCTGAGACACGAGAAGAGCAAGGCTCTGAGAAAAAGGTTGTGATCCGACGAGACTCATGACCTGACCCAAAAAAAAGGCTACAGGTGATGGAACCCGTATTCGAATCAACAGATCGGGTAATGGCCAATGCACACTGTGTTCACACTGGTTGTGGCTCGGTTACCCGTGGGACAGATACTGTGGAACCGCGGGTTTGGGTACCCACCTCTAATCCTAATTCAGCACCCAAGATTTTGAGGATGGTAGATATAGGGTTGCATTGGATAAAATTTCTTTAGAAACAATCAGATATTTTTAGAATGTGAATCCACATGTTTGTGAGTTATATGTCACAGGATGAGCATAATTCATGCCCTATATGCCGGCACGAGCTACCGACGGACGATCATCGATACGAGAGCTGGAAGGAGAGGGAGAAAGAGGCCGAAGAAGAGCGTAAAGGCGCCGAGAACGCTGTTCGTGGAGGCGAGTATATGTACGTTTAGATTCTCACACTCCATACATACAGTTCCCCCCGTTTTACTGTTTTTCCGTTGTGAATTATCTGCTTATATATATATATATATATATATCCGTGGTTGTATCTCATTTCAATTCTTGGATATTTCGTCAAGCCTTATAGTACTTATCATCCAATATTTGTATCATATTCTTGATGTCAAGAGTTTTTATCCGGCGTAGAATTTTTATGTAATACTTCAATGATATATAGCTCTCGCAAGTAATATATAGATTTATCAAACATCGCTTTAATCTCAATGTTTGAGATGGTTTTGAAATTAAATCTTTTCCAATCTATAACAATGTCAAGTGGTTTTTAATGTTCCAAATAAAGCTAAATGTACATTATGAATATTTTCTAATTACTTTTTACCCTCCAAGATTTCAATTAAGGCTCAAAATTTCTTCAAAGATTTCAACTATTGTTTCATTTCGTAAAAATATAATTATTATTATTATTAATATTATTACTTTTTGGCACCATACAACTACAATATATTTGCAGAATTGAAGCTGTTTTCGGTAATTCACGTGGCACCTTCATAAGCCCAATGGGCCGTAATATCTAAAATTATCCTTGAATATATACGGGTCCGACCGCGGTTATTATTATACACCAAATCAATGTAGACCGTTAGATCAGCTCAAATCAAATATCAGCCGTTGCTTTGCCCCTCCCTCTTACTGATTCGAACTTGAAATCCCTAAAGCAAAATAAATTGTGGGTAGATGAGAGAATCTATTATATACTCCAACAAAAACCCTAGCTCTGCTTCCGGCCGAGATTCGCAATCCTTGTCGATCGCCGGTTTCGGAAAACGAAATTAGGGTTTTGTTTGGTGTCAATCATGCCGAGAAGGGATGATGAAAGGTTCGTTTTTGATGCCGGAGACGACGAGGACAACCAAGTTGAGGTAGTCCGGGCTGAGGATGACGAAGATGACGACGAGGCTAATGAGGATCTCAGCTTGAAGATATTGGAGAAAGCCTTGTCGAGGCGAGCCGTTGAACGAAGCCGAAACGAGCTCGGTTTCGATGATTCGAACGAGACGAGCATGGCGGATCTCTGCGTATCGGCTTCTGGTGTAGTGGGTTCTGTTCTGGTTAATGGCGAGAAGCCCATGGAGGAGAATGTTCAGAGTAATAGGAAGAAGAAAAAGAAGAAGATGGAGATAAAATCTGCCCAGGAAACTGTCAGTATGAACATGCCTTCTTCTTTTCTCTGAACTCCTCGCCTGTGTATTCTATATTGTGAATGCTGATCTCTCTTTCTGCTTCTTGTCAACGTTTTAGCGTCAATCTAGTTTGTTATCATGTGTGATCAATATCTGGTTGTCATTCATAGGGGTTTTATCAATCTAGTTTGTTATCATGTGTGATCAATATCTGGTTGTCATTCATAGCGGAATTAGCTAATGCCGCTGACAAACAAAGCTTTGTTTTTGACTGATTAGAAACTGTAATAGTTCTCTATGCTGATGCATGGTGCTAATTCCTATTCCTCTTGTTTTGCCATAATCCAAAAAGAGTTGTTTGTCTCTTGTAGTTATTTGTTGGTAAAAGTTTGATTTGAATCTCTAATGCCCCTCGGTTCTGGATTGCATCAGTCTATTGTTACTAAAGATGAAGATGGGGTGGAAATAGTGGAGGAGGTTTCGAAAGATGAAGACGCTGAGGTTGACAAATTTATAGAACCAAACGCAGGAGAAACATCTAACAACATGGTTCTCAGAAAGCTTCTTGTGAGTTGAACTACTGTCGGTATCTCCCTTTTCCAAAACAGGCAAAAAATCCGTATACTTCTCCGTGAGAGCAATTTCTTTTTTATCTAATTCTTTTAATATCAGCGTGGACCGAGGTATTTCGATGCTCCAGATGGTGGTTGGGAGTCATGTTTTAATTGTGGGGAGCAAGGCCATATGACCATAAATTGTCCATCCCTTACCAAACGCAAGAAACCTTGCTTTGTATGTGGGAGTTTGGAACATGGGGTGAAGCAATGTGCAAAGGTTCGTTCTCAAGATAGTATCTTGATTTGGTACTTGTCATTATCTGGTAATTAGTCATCCGATCACCTTGATTAGGTATCCTCCAGTAAATTTTATTAAGGTATGGATATTATTTGTTGGAAGTTTATAAATGAACTTCCAGTCAAAGGTGGTTATAAAAAACCCACTGTGTATATCTTGTATTGAATGGACGTGGCTCGGTATTGAGTGCTTCTTTTGTTTTCTCATTTCTGAAGGCTCAAGATTGCTATATTTGCAAACAAAGTGGGCACCGGGCGAAAGATTGCCCAGAGAAGTATAAAAGTGTGTCCAAAAACACAAACATATGCTTGAGATGTGGATATTCTGGGCATGACTTGTTTTCGTGCAAGTATGAATATTCTCATGATGATCTGAAGGTAAATTTTTTCTAAACTCGATTTTTTTTCTCCTTATTCTTTTATGCTTTTCCTCCTGTTTAAATTTAACGGTCAATTACTAGAACTGCGTTTGCTTAAATTTACTGATTTTGATCCTCATGAGATGAGAAAGTATCATTCTTTTTAGTTGCAATTATAATTCTCATCATGAGGATTTCAACCTTCCTTGAACTTCGTATAGTTTATATAAGGTCAGGTTACATGTGATTATACTAATATTGCCCTGATTTCTTCTACCAGGATATACAATGTTATGTCTGTAAAGCCTTTGGCCATTTGTGTTGTGTCGACCCTTCTAACTCACCGACGTGGGCTGTCTCTTGCTATAGATGTGGCCAACTGGGTCATACTGGACTCGTAAGTGGTTCGAGCTTTCAAAGTAAAAAATCACTTACCCAAGAAAATGCATCATCTTTTACAGTTTTAGTTTTATGGAGTTTTGGCCTCTAATCGTTTTTTATATAGACTGTCACTAAGATGTGTATGATATCACAATCTAATAACGGAAGCATATATGCTTATTAGGCATGTGGGAGACTCAACGATGGAAGTATGGGAAGAGATTCCTCTCCGAGTTCATGCTTTAAGTGCGGGGAAAGAGGACACTTTGCACGTGAATGCCTGAATTCTTTGAGCTTAAACTTTTCACAAGGCAAGGAGTTGTTGGCTAGCTCATGCTATAGATGTGGAGGAATGGGGCATTTTGCTCGCGAGTGCCCAAATTCCACCCCGGTAAGCTCTCCTCTCCGGCCTTTGCTCTTGAGCCCTTTCAAGTTTCATCTATGACCGAGTGTTTCCTTTCCCTTCACTCAGGTTTTTAAGCGACGACACGATGCATCATCACCATCTCACAAGAAGTCTCACAAGAAAAGTAAAGAGAAGAAGGAATACCATTCCGCTCCTCATGAACCCAATGGCAAGACAAAGAGAAAGAAAACCCGCGACGTGGAAGGGGACTTTACAACGCCTCGGAAAGCAAAACACCGAGGCGGGTGGACCACAATGGATCCCGAGGAAGAAGATAGTTCACGGAGAAAGAGAAAGAGCAGAAGACCGAGTCCCCCCTCCACACCATGCGGTAAGAACCATAGGATATCGTCGGGCGGGTGGCCACCGAGCTCTCCATCATCATGGAGGCAATCTTCTTCTCATCATCACAGATACGTAGCCGCAGCCTCGAGGTTCAGTGACCGCCGCCATTACCATGGTGAGTACCGTGGAAACTATGATGAGTGGTAGAATATAACGATGATGAAGCTTTGGTTTTTAGACCTTTGATTTTTGGTAGCTAAATGTGCTCTATCATATGACCCCCCCCCCTGTATTTGTGTTCCTTTGTCATGCTTTTTTTTTACTACAGTATTTTTTATGAAGAGAATAATTCTATTAAATGTAATACAATTAAAATATTTAAAAATGTGTGCCTATCTGAAACCGAAAGTTTGGATTTTGTTGTAATACAATTAATTTTATGTGTTATTTTTATTTTTTATAATCAAATAATCCAGTTGAATTTAGTCTGATTTAAGTTTCAACTTGATTCGATTTGTGTATTTAATGTGAAACAAGTGCAGAAATTGATGTAAATTATAAATAAATAAAATTTAACCCGAATGAAAGTTCAAAAGCTCAAACTATTAAAAGAATTAAAACAAAATCAAAACGTGGAATCAACAAAAACAAAATGTTTTTCTAGAGATTTGTTTACCAAAAAGTAGGGGTCACCCGACCCGCCTATTTATTTTTCGGATCTAGGATCGATGGCCCAGAACCCGATCCTATAAGGCTTCGGACGGGTTCGGGCCGGACGTCGGATTTTTTATTAAATAAAAATATTTTTTCCTACGATAATAATAATAATAATGTAAAATATTAAAAAAACCAAACATAGTATAAAAAAAATATTATATGATGTAATTAATTTGAAACACGTAGAAAAAGAATTAATATGTTCATATGCAAAAAAATGTTTAAAAATATATATGTTTGAAAGTTTCTACATTTTCAAAAACATAAATTTATATATAT